CTCCGATCACAAATGCAGATATGGTTTTATGTTTACGCGGCGCGATGCAACGCAACGCGTAAAAAGACAGTATAAGTCATTATAATCCATAATTATGTCCCCACTGGATGCAACGAATGCCTCGTTTATAATTGGTTTTCATGTTTTTGTCTCGTCGCTCCGGCCAGACAGGGTATCACAGTATGGTAAGGGGCGTAACATTATAGTCTCACGCTTGAGGTATTCGGCCAATCACAACGCACTGGATAGCTGGCCAATCACAGCACACCTCGCTTTTCAGACCAATGAGCTTTGTAAAAATCGACGCGTTTCAGAAAGGCGGGGCATAGAGGAGAAACAATAATGTACAGTATGTGGAAAATAATGTGTTTTTTTAAAGTTAAACCAAATAGACATTTCATTACACCAAATACACAAAATACTGTTCTTTTTAGCAGCATCATATGACTCCTTTAACATCATTAAATGTACTAACTGAGTGACTGATACCATCTTTGTTATGGAATACACTTGTTGGTTCGCAGTGAGTTCACAGTTTTTTAATTTTGCTTTAATTTTCAAGATCAGAGTTCAAGGCAACCGTGCCTAGTGTGAGTACACCCTTAGATTATCTACTGTCCTATAGTTATATAGCGGACCAGAACGTGGTGTCCCCTTAAGTCTGGCAGGAAGATCTGAAGGGCTCGACACACTGCCAGCATTTCCAGGCAGTTGATGTGTAGCTGACCTTCCTTGTCCGACCAGAGCCAAAGTCGTTCTGCCTTCACACAAAGCTCCCCAAACGGAGTTGGATGCATCTGTCAAGACGACCTTCCTTCTGCAGACCATTCCCAGAGCCATGCCCTGTTCTAACCACTGAGGGCTCTTCCAAGGGGCCAGGGCTGTCACGCAGGCCTGGTCCACCTTGATATGTAAGCGTCCATGATACCAGGCATGGGACGGAACCCGGGGTTTCAGCCAGTACTGAAGGGGCCCGTGCAAAGCAGGCCCAGCTGTAGCACCGGAGATGCAGAGGCCATGAGGCCTAGCCATTTCTGAAACATCCTGAGAGGGAGAGAGGCCCCAACTTTGAAGGAGGCCGCGAGCTGCTGTATGGCCAGGGCACACCGTGACTACAGCCCTCATTTGGGTTGAGTCGAAGACTGCTCCCAGGAATGAAATCCGTTGGCTGGGAGACAGCGAGCTCTTGGAAAAATTGACCCTGAGACCCAGGCACTCCAAGTGGCTGAGGAGAAGGGACCTGTGGGATAATAGCTCGGCCTCTGACTGGGCTAAGACGAGCCCGTTCAGAATGCAGATTCCCATCTGTCTCAGAGGGGAAAGAGCTGCACCCATACACTTCGTAAACTTACGAGGAGCTAGAGACAGTCCGAAGGGGAGGACCGTGTATTGATATGCCACTCTCTCAAAGCCAAATCTCAAGAATCGTCTGGGATGGGGGGCTATCTGGATGTAAAAGTAAACATCTTTCAGGTCCAGAGAGAAGAACCAGTCCCCTGGGCATATTTGCAAGAGGATCTGCTTCAAAGTAGTCATCCTGAACGGCCATTTCATGAGGGCGTGATTCAGGTGCCTGAGGTCGAGGATGGGCCGGAGACCACCTTCCTTTTTGGGGACAAGGAAGTAACGGCTGTAGAAGCCTGACTCGCTCTGAGCTGGTGGAACCGTCTCTGCGGCTCCGTGTGGCAAGGGGTTGGATTGACTCGAGTGGTAGGTTGCTGTGAAGGGACCTGATGCACGTGATAAGTTGGAAGAGGAAAAGTGCTCTCTTTTGAGTATGTTTGTGTTTTAGTTTGTCCGCTATCGCAGTGGTTATTTGCATGGGCGCTCGAACGGGCCCGGTGCTTTCAACAAACACCTTGTCTCCAAACAAGTACTGTTTGTTGGTTCGTTTTTAATTTACTGCACGAACCAATGGCTTTGCAGTTACATTGCGTTATTTAAAAAGACTTCAATAATCTGAGAAAAAGGAGTTTCCCCATTGCGTCTAGTGATGCAGTACGAGTGAAGTGTCGATAGAGAAACACGCAAGAGACGAATAGAGAAATGCAAACCATTGCAGATTCTCTGGTAACACAACCTTGAAAAAAATTATCATTGAAAATATCAGTGCAAATTCCCTTATCAGCACAATAATTATGAAAATATTAATTTTCCCAGTTATCAGCCGATAACATTTCAGCCGCTGATATACTGTGGAGAAATGACAGCACTTTATGATGAAGAGAGATGAATGAATTAAACGATCATGCTGCTGCTGCTGATGACATGATGATGATGATACTGATGACGATGATGAAGATGCTGATGATATTGCTGTGCCCTGCAGGTGTCTGACAGGCAGACCTACATCCTGCTGTGTCTGCTTCTGTGTTCTTCTGGGGCTGCTGATCTGTGTGAACTACCGTCAGATATCAGAGAGTCCTGCTGTCGATTCACCGAGATCCTGCGGACTGGACAGGTGAGGAGACGACCATCAGGGGTTTACACTATAGTGACCAGCTCCTGCAACAGGACTGATGTGATCAGTCGCAGGTAAATCATGATGTGTTGTTTTCAGAGAGCTGTCTGATGATGAAGCCGTGCTGCTGAGACGCAGAGCCTCTGATCCGATTTCACTGTTGTCCCTGCAGATGCCTGTCGGTGAGTTCATGATGTTATCAGTCTAATGAACGATTCCTCAGATCATGTGTGTTGTTGAGGAGATGCTGCACTGTCACAAACACTGCTAGCAGTGAGGTTTCCTGCGGTGGATGTAAAACTCTTGCTGTTGTTGTATTTATTTCAGGAGGTTCAGAAGAGACCAGCAGCCATAAACAGTGGGAAGATTGCCCAGTTAGTAGAAAAGTATGATGGGTGTCTCTGCATTGTTGTAGACTTTGGTCTTTAGGTCTCATAAATCTGGAAATCTGCTGCGTCTTTATGGTGAGTTTCTATTTCTTGCAGAAGAAGCAGAAAGTGAAGCTCAGCAGAGGTCTGGAGACACAGTCCGCTCCATCGCTCCCTCACACATCTTCTGGGTTTGGAGTTGGTTTCTCGTGTGGTCGGCAGAGACGTGATGTTCGACGGCAACTCTAAAGGCTCCTCGCAGGCTGACCAGACGCTGTTCTGTGGAATCGCCAGCTGTGCTCGTCTGTGTGAGGCGTTACCTGCTCCGAAGCGCTGGACACAGAGCCGATCGCAGCATCGGCATCAGCCTCCGCAGCACAGCGGCCCACGCCAGACCGCCTCAGAGACTGAACCGAACCGGACTGAACCGGCTCCGAGACGCCCGAGATAATTGAACTGAACCGGACTGAACCGGCTCCGAGATGCCCGAGATAACTGAACTGAACTGGACTGAACCGGCTCTGAGATGCCCGAGAGAACTGAACTGAACCGAACCGGACTGAACCGGCTCTGAGATGCCCGAGAGAACTGAACTGAACCGAACCGGACTGAACCGGCTCTGAGATGCCCGAGAGAACTGAACTGAACCGAACCGGACTGAACTGGCTCTGAGACACCCGAGAGAACTGAACTGAACCGGACTGAACCGGCTCTGAGACGCCCGAGAGAACTGAACTGAACCGGACTGAACCGGCTCTGAGATGCCCGAGAGAACTGAACTGAACGGACTGAACCAGCTCTGAGACGCCCGAGAGAACTGAACTGAACCGGACTATGGCTGTATGAGGCCTGAGTAATCATACAGTGTAAGAAAAGTGTCTGAAGTGTCACTGACAGTGTTGCCAAGTCCGTCATTTTCCCGCGGGTTGAAGCGACCCCAATAACATGATATTTAGTCCCTGCCAAAAAACGTTAATTTTACCCCCCCCCGGAACGCGACACGATTGGGCTAGTTTTGAGTAGCAATAGGGTGGGTTTTGTTGTGAAAACCTGGCAACCCTGGTCTCAGAGTCTCTTTAACTCTTCAGCCTCTGCTGCAAGCCTCCATCAGATCTGCTGAGATCATCACAGCTGAGGATGTCTGCAAACCACTCCATACCCTTAAACTAATGCACTCTTCTTTGCATTTCAGCTCTGTTCTTGCTCGTTTCCTAGTCTAGTGCTGTAATAAACCTATGATTGTTTGCAGTGAATGTTGCTGGCTCTGTGGTGACTGTTCCTCTGTAAGGAAACAATGGCAGTGGAGGGAGAGGAATATCAGACTCACCCTGCACCAGATATGAGAGCACTGTGATCATTCCTACTTGGACAGAGTGCTCATACATTATAACGACCAACTGCACCAGAGACATCTGCTGTTTGTACTGGTGGCTTTATCAAAAAGTGTACTTACATTTTTGGATGGCCAAAATCCATTCAGTTTGAACTGACATTTCCCGCTCTGATCTATTTTTACAGAAGATCCCCCTCTGACTGATAGTTAATCTAAAAATGGTATCTTTCTGGAGCTGAGAAAAAGGATGTTTTGAATGCTATATACAGGTGCATCTCAATAAATTAGAATGTCGTGGAAAAGTTCATTTATTTCAGTAATTCAACTCAAATTGTGAAACTCGTGTATTAAATAAATTCAATGCA